ATAGGTGGAATTTACCGTAACCGTTCACTTTCCGAGGACCGCCTCGGTGAGTAGGAATCGGAGTGAACAGGGCTTGATTCATCACCTACCTCATTGAAATGGACTTTCATCATCCATCTAAGATGTTAAATGGCAGATGCAGTACTCGAGCCCAAATGATTGTCAAAAACATTACAACATCCTTACGGGGTTGCAAACTATCTGCATTAATCATTAACAAGCTTTGGGCAGAGGGGTCTCAACGTGAACGTATTTGTCTCGCAACTTTTCGCCCGCTGGCTCCCTTTATCCTCATTCGCCTCGCAATGAATCCAATAACGCTCCCCGATCGAACAGCATAGATCTATAATTCAAACTAGTGAGCTACAGAACGTCACCACAGCAAACCGGACCTTGACGCGTCATTAGAAATCGGCTTGCCTGCAGAAGGCTGCGAGAATGTTGAAAAGGCTAGGATGTCCCGTCAAGGGATTATGCGTGACTGAGTGTCTGGTGTAGCTTGCATTCGTGCGTTCACACTGCCACAAAACAGGGCGTTGGTTTGAAATACCAGCAGGTTGCCATGGTTCTCCCCTAAGGTTAGTTATCACAAGCATATAACAAATCCAAAAATGAGACATAGCTGCGCCTCAGCCTTAGACCACCATACCCACCCTTATGCTCTCCACCTTTTGTAATTGAACTCTATGACAATTATTGTAATACTTCCCCAATAAGATCAAGAAGTAAAACCACATCAACCGCAAAATTAGTGACATGTACTACGCTCCTGACGGCTTGCTTTGGGGTCACTATGTCTTCGACTTTACCAACTTAAGCGTCTTAGGCATATCAAATGGCTGAGTCGATAACACCAACGGGTCCACCAGGGCACGCGTACAACTCGACGACGTCTCTCTAAGCATTGGGCCATCACTCCATTTGACATAACCTACAACTGCACTTACTACCACTGGTAATAGATGGTGTCCTCCGAAGCTTTCTGCACAAATAGCTATCTGGGTTGTATTCTCCGTCTTGGGTAAGTGTCAAGCACGCAGCATTATCTATCGACTCCTAATTGCGAGGCTACGTACCTTCTTGGGCAGTGCAAGTTGAAGACCGAGAGTCACGTTGGGTCCCACCAATGCACAAGTTGCCATCAAACCAGACATGAAATGGGTAACGCTTTCCGAGTCTCGGTTGCGCAGGTGTCTATGGAACAGCCATTTTACATCTATATATGCCGGGTGGGTCTTCGCATCGGTCGATGCTTTTACTGCACTATAGAAATTGTTTCTTCGTCATGTATCTATTTGGGAATCACTTTCATGGGCAGAGAATCCGGATATCATTAGCGCGCTTCGGTGAAAGCATTTCGGAGTGAAAACCGTCAATGCAAATGGCTTCAATTCACTTATTTGATTTCTGCAACGACCTGAGGATTCACTCCCCGTTGTCGAGGAGCCTGGCTATAAAAATACACCGTACAGTTTGTTCTTATTGCACCCCTTCACGTACAAAACCCAACAACCAACTCAACACCACGCGACCCTTCCATCCTTTCCGAGCAGGAACATCTTTCATGCGACACTTGACAACACACTTCACACGTAAGATATGAGCCATTTTAATCTAATCCTCATCATGAAGTTTAGACCAGCTGCTCACTCCCCCACCAGGGACCTTCCGGGCACACCGTGTCCCCTCTCCAGACATTTCCACATGACGAGCCCCCCACTCAGGTGGGCTGCAAACGAAACCGACACACCGCCTCCCTCCCCGACCTGCGCTGCTCCATGCCAATCATCGCCAACTCCCAACCCGGATACCCGCATTGCGCCTTCCCGACTCCACCACCACGCAGCAGCCCTACGGTTGGCTTTCCACCAAGCCCTCCGTACCTTCCTCAACTTTCTAACTACCACAGCAATTGCCATGCAAAACACCCTGCAGCTTAACATCCCCGCCGGCCTGGTTCGCACCCGGATCCACCACTTCTCCAATCCAGCTGCCAGTGCAACCCCGACCCAGGTCCTGGACACCACAAACGGGATCCTGAAGCGCGCGATCGAGACCATGGAAGCGCTCCGCCGACGGGGTACTTCGTACCGTGCGCGCCTCAGAGTCGCGGAGCAGTTGGATTTATTCAGCCTTCCGCGAGAACTGCGCGAGTTTGTGGGCGACCATGATGCGCTGCGTGTTGCGCTTTCTGAGACGGTGAGGGTGGCGGAGAGCGCGGCGATGGAAGAAGGACTTAGTGTACAGATGCGGACGGAGTTGAGAGTTAGGGATTTGAGAGCGAGGTTTTGGGTGGGGATGGTGACGGGTAGTAGGGAGAAAGAGGTTATGGAGAAGATGAGCGCTGATAACGAGTTTATCGGGCAGTTGGAGGATGTGGTCAGGGAGTTGAGGGGGGCGATCGTGAATGTACTGGATCAGATGGATGCAGTGTTTCCGAGGGGAGCTGAAGAGGTTGAGTATAAGAATGTGGGACCCGATCATGATATCGACTCTCTGGGTCGGGAACTCAAGCTTTGGGACAGTGGATGGGCTCCGAGGAATTGGGGCAAGATTGCTTGGCCGGGAAGGACGATCGAGAGGTCTGACCCTGAGGGTGAGCTCGAAGGCGAAGGAGATGAAGGAGTGGCCATCGATATCGACCAGCGCTGCTGTATCTGCCTTTCCGCCTACACGTCTTCCGATCCCCCGTTCCAACTATCAGCCTGCCTCCACACCGTCGGCAAATCCTGCATGACCGCCTGGCTAAACGGCCTCTCCGTCAACGCCACCTCATGCCCGCATTGTCGGCGTCTTCTCTGCCTACGCCGTCCTCGCCAACCAGTCGTCAACCCTGTCGTCCTAGCTGCGAGGCGAAACTGGACCGGGCAGCTGAAACCAATTATCCAGACCCTCATGAGCCTTAACGAAGTCATCAAGGGATTGTACGGGGCTGCGGCCGTGCCAAAGTATATCAGGGCGCATATCGAGGCTCTGAATCATGTGCTGGAGGATCGGAGGATTGGGTTTTACCTCGGACAAACGACGAATGGCGGGATGGGGTGGCCGATTTATAGGATTGACAGGACGGAGACAGAGATGGAGAGTTGAGTGTATTACCTGCTTACTGTGTGAAATTAGTGTATAACAGTTCGGCGAGCGGTTGTACGACTCTTGAGGATGAGGCCCTCTGTTGACTTAGATACTTCTCCCAGGTAGGGCTTAGGGATCTCTGCGTGTGCTGCACTACGGTGTACTCTACTTTCTGCAAGAAGGTGGCGGGGAGGATCGGATACTCCTGCCATAAAAGTGTATGGAACTACCTGGATTCGGTTTTTGAGATCGACCTGTAGTATTAGCTGCAATTGTAGAGGACGGAAGCAATCCCAAATAAGAGACACAAAAAATATGCAAATCTCGGCATCTAGTTGCTTCGTGAATCATTGTTGCAGAAGCCCATCTTCCCGACCGTATCCGAAACCCGGCAGACCTGAAGTAAAAAGAACCATTCATTCAAAATCATCCCAAGCTAGCACATCAGAAAGAACCGCAACCGACAGCGAACTTAATTTGAAACTAACCAAAGTCTAGAAACACGGAACAATGCAGACTCTTTCCCGGCATGAACAGTAAACCTGCACTAGAGAACAGAAAAAGAGCCCATCATGCAGGGACAAAAAAGAGCAAAAAAGATAATCTCTCCCTCGGGGAATCGAACCCCGGTCTCCCGCGCTTGTTGGAATGACAAGCGGAAATCATGACCACTAGACCAAGGAAGATTGGTTGTTTGGTGAATTGATGAGGAATTTTAAGAATGTAGTATATATATATATACAGTATTACATGGAGAAGGTGAGAATTGAGATTTGGAGAGGGAGGGTTTTCTCGGAAGTGGCAGATGCTTACTTGCAGGTTCGGTCGCGGGGCTATTGCCGGGCTGGGTAGACTAGGGGTGATGATAGGCTGGGCTGGGCTGGAGATGTTCGGTGGGGTGGGGCTGCCAATTTAGGTTCCGATGGATGCCTATGCACAAGCGGCTTCAGCAACGAACAACGATTTTGGAATTTCAAACTGTCTTGATTTTGGAGATGTTTACTGCTAAGGACTGTATAGTAGTGAGCATGGTAGGATAGAAGCCAAGGGAATGATCCATAAAGCTTTATGCTGAGACCGCGCTACTAGAGGTAGGTAAGTACATGTGATATCGGCACAGGTGCGGTTCTTCTTTACAGCATACAGGTATGTTGTATTCTCATGCCGCAAATTCGGCACTGCATTATCTATGCGAAGCTGTAGGTGCTATGTCTGATGCAGCAGACTAGAACCACACTCTCGAACACCTGCCTCCCATATCCTGTCCATACGAGCACCATTCTCTCAATCAATCAACCGCAAACGCAAAACCCACCAGTCCTCGCCCTCAAGCAAATCTCGGCCCGTCCCGGTCGATCATTGCGTCGCCGCAATATATATAAAGTCCTCGTTGTGGTAGAAATTTAATGAAACATGGTGGGTGAAACATGCGCTCGGGAAATGAGAGGGCTTTCCACGTTTTTAGTTCGTTGACCCAGCCTTAATTGCAGTCCATCCCACTTATTCCTATACATATAATCTCAGCCGGACCCTTATGTTTCGCTATGTTTCTGCTTATGTGTTGTCGAAGCCGTGACGATGACGGGGCAAGAGCTAGGGCAGGAAGGGAAGTCGAGATAAACTTCTCATGCCTGGAAGGTGGATAAGGAGGGGAGCGAATGCTCTTGTAACATAATAGATAGGTATACATGAAGATTTGAAATGGTCGACTGTTCTTCCAGCAAAGAAGGGGGCTTATGCATGCCATCTGTATGAACGTAGACGTATGTCTTTGCCCGGTTACCTCCAACACGTCTGCATGTCTGAAAGCAATCGATCCTGGGTGGGTGGGTAGAAGGACTAAATACAATAGTCCATCATTACTCTCCATGGCCGTATTGAGCCTTTAGCTGTGCGTACGCTGTATGGCCTCGGTGCCCAGTGCTCACAACGGTTTCGCGCCTCGGCTGACGTCGATGTATTAAATAGTCTGGAATGTGGAGCGTGCTACGAAGCGTGGCGCCATGTGCCTCCCGCTCATCACAGACCACAACCACCGGTATTGTGTCTCAAGCGCCACTTGTCACGCAGCGGCTGAGACATTCGATAGCGATAGTGGTAGGGCGTTAGTACGACGAGCCACAGCAAGCACAGGCGCAAAGACAACGGGAGCAGAAAAGGGTTAGAAAACGAAAACTACAATTAGACCGAATCACCAGGTAGAATCGAGTCTACCATGCAAATTTATGTAAACCAACGCCGAGAAATGATGATATGCCCCGATAAAAAGCCATTGTCCATGGTGAATATGCCATTCCTGTATCAAAAACAAACCAGACCGAAGACAGCCGACAGACAGACGAGTAGTCATCCCAAGCCAAGATGGTAGAGGAAATTGGATATCAGGGGCTCTAGATGGTGAAAAAGCGCAGCGCACACCAAACGTACATACATACACACCCACATCTACCACGAGCCTACTTCCACACCAACGCTTTCCCACCACGACCTCCGTTTATTAACACAAACAGCAACCCACGCTTCTTATTCACCCATCTATGCCATCTCCGAGTACAAGAAGTTACCCGCCGGATCCACATACTTGATCTCCTGCTCCGTGACGCAGTATCCCGGCTCATCAGCCGGGCTAGTGGGGAACACGTAGCTGCCACCACCGTGGGACTTTCCGGTACCAGTGGGGTACGGGGGATAGGTGCCAGTCGGGGGCTTGTAACCAGGCTGCTCATACGGTGACGGGGTATATGTGTACGGCTTGCTAAGACCTGCTGGCTTGTTCTCAGTGCACTTGGGCAGCATGATATAGTCACCGACGGTAGGAAGCTCATCAGGGCCGTTGGCGGGAGTAATCGGTGCGGACTTGACGTAGATCTTGAGACCGGGGACCTGGTTCGCGGGGATCTCGACACCACCGGGGCCGATGACCTTGTAGTGCAGATTGTCCTTAAGGTAGGCTTCAACATCGTCGGGTCCGAGGGACTTGAGCTCGCCATAGGCTTCCTTGCCCTGGAGGCAGGTGGTGAGCGGGAGAGAGCCCTCGGTGATGACAGGGTAGGAGCTGTTTCCGCCATCGCCCTTGCTGCCGCCCATGACGCTGTACGCACCGACGTAGTTGGGGGACTCATATTCGTCGGTGATCGTGTTGTTGCCATATGGGGCGGTGGTGTTGGCGTAGGGAGCGGTGGAGTTAAGAGTCGAGTTACTAACACCGCCGAGCCAGCAGTGCACTGAGTAGGAGCCGTCCATTACGAATTTGCTGGCAATGACGGAGAGGACAGTGTTGTAGTCGCCGTGCTTGTACGGACGGCCGGGGTATTGGCTCTCGGAACGCTTCTTGTTGTTGGTGGGGGCACCGGGACCATAGAGGCTGTTGACCGCGCTTCGGACTGAGGCAGCAGAAGGGTTGCCAGCGGTCTCGGGGTAGTAGTATCCGAGAACGCGAGTGTTGCGGATATCCTGGCTGGTGTAGTAGTCGCCGTTGCTGTTCTTGGTGAAGGGCTTCAGGGGAGTGTACGAGTTCTTCCACTCTCCAGCGTTCCACTGGGCCATGCCGCGGTTGATAGCTCCATCGGTGACGTACGTGTTGGGCGAGACAACTTGGTACATGGCGAGGAGACGGTCAATGTTGCTGCAGAAAGTCAGTAGAATTCATCTTGAGTCAAGCAAAGGCGCTCACAAATGGTGGAGCCAGAAAGCCGGGTCGAAAGACGAGTAGTCGAGATAATACATGTGGCCGCCGGATTCACCACCAACGGTGACGTGAACGGCGTCATGGACCGATTCGAAGCTGTCTGGGTTGTTGCCGTTCTGCGAAGTGCGGACACCGATGTTGGAGGTGGAGAGATCGCCCCAAGATCCACCGCTCATGAAAAGCCCATAGACACGATCACGGAGGGAGAGACGGATGCTAGCCATGCGGGCGGCAAGCTCGTTGTTGTTGCTGCGGGTCGGGTTGGAAACTGGGCGACGGAGCGTAGTGGGCCAGTTGTTCCACGGACCTCCTCCCATGGCGGAGGGCAGAGAGCTACCCCAAGAGTACGAGTACAGAGGGTTGGGGATTGTGGTTTGGCCGGAAGGCTTCGTCACCGTCACCGTCTGGTCGCGCATGAGGGAAGGAGTGCTCTTCTCGCCACTCGGGGGAGCCCTGGCCCAGTCCCAGAACGGCATGCGGAGAGTGGCGGCAGCGTTCCTCCAGCGTTGCTGCTCGCCGGACGGGAAGGCGGAGATAACCTCCTGGACGCACTGGTACCAGGCTTGCTCGTAAACAGCAAGGTACGGCCTGTGCCAGGAGCCGAACAGGTTCTGACCGTGAGGGCAGAAGCCAGCGGAGTTGACCAACGGGGTGGGGAAGTTGTTCCAGGTCACGTAAGGACGGCCGTGAACACCTTGACACAGCATTAGTATTCCTGATTGCACAAGACTCAAGCAAGGTTACACACCAGCAACCTGATAGTACGACAGGCGGTCGTTCTTGTCCTTGGCCATGAACCTCTCCATTCCAAGGATGTAGAGATTCCACTGGTCCGCGTTTTTCTTCAAGTCGCGAATCTCCAGACGGGGGGAGACTGTGCCAGTAACACCGACGATGGCGATATTGTTGGCACGCTCCTCCAAAGCCCTCTTGGTTTCTTCGAAATGGGACTCGAGAGCCTTGGCGTCGCGGTGGACATGGTGGTGTGCGGCGTGTTGAACGGCGAGGGTGACCTGGAGAAAGAGGAAGACTGTGAAGAGCGTGGAGAGCACGCTCCTCGGTTTGCTGAAGCCGGCCATGCTGTCGATGGTATGCTGTGAGAGACTGGACGGGTCGAAGTCGAACGACGGAGACTATTAACCCTAACAAAAGAAAGGACGACTCGATTACAGGCTGAGAGGAGATTAAAAGAGCGTAACGACTTCGGAAAGAGTCCTCAGTCTAAGGAAAAAGCACAATTGAGGCTGCAAAAGAACCCTCAACGTCAAAAGTTGTCGAGAAATGGGAGGAAGGATGGCAAAGTCTTGGGGGGCAGCGGTCAGGGTCATATACAAGCAGCTATTCCTGGCGAGCTGCATCCTGATTGGGCTGAGTCGATGTGAACCTTTTTGGACGGCCGACGGGCTGATGTGCATGGTCCTGTGGCTACCATTGGCCAGCATGCGCCCCGGCCGTTTCGAAACACCAACATCTGCAAGCCACTGTACCCCTGAGTTAACCTCAAGGCTCCAGCTGTAGGCTCGGTCGCGCAAACGCCGGCCAGCAGCCCGCGTGGCCGTCTCAATCGGGCCACGACTACCAGGGAACAGGGGCTCACGCCAGGAACGCTCCACTTCGTGAAGAACATCCTCGTGAATAATTAATGAATCACGACGCTGCGTGGGCGCGGGGAGCGCACTCGGCGGAGGGAAGATCGCTCACGAACCTCTGAGATTTCCGTCCGCCAATTCACACAAGCCTCGAAAAAAGGCATCCGCTAACTCTGCGTTGTGGACCGACTCCGCTGTCCGTCGTCAGCTTCGGAACCTTTTAATTAAAGGAAGGCTGATGTGTCCCTCTTTTGAGGCAAGGAGTGCAAATCCGTCGTCGGTGCATGGACGTGGACGGCGGGACAGCCGCTCTCCGCCATCGCAAACCTTGAAGCTGTACTTATCTTGGCATCTCTGCATCTCCGCCGACATGAAGTCTTTTTTACTCCATCGCTGCCCATTGTTCAAT